CAATTTTAATTCATTCATTAATTATTATTTTTTACATTATTAAAATTTATTTTAAATGCAAATAATAATAATAATAATAATAATTTGTTGTATTAAAAATATATAATACAAATGACACAAATACCCTCCATCAATTAGCTTGGTAAATGAAAAAAAGGGTAAATTTGACTCGGCACCAAAATAGTGCAAACTTTGGTGCCACGTTGGAGAGCTACTTTGGTGCATTTGGCGTTTTGGTGATAGCTTTAGAGACCCTCTAGCACATCACTACAAGGACGCTGCGGCCATATTTTAAATTTCCAAGGGCATTTTTGTAAACTCGACTAACTTGCCAAGCCAACGACCACTGTACAGGTTGTTTGTTAGATACACACAAATAAATGAACCTTTATATATTCAACACCATAACCTTCTTTCAAGATTCACCTTCAAATCAACAATGGCGGAGTTGGAGAGTCCAAATGTGATGCCTAAACTCATTTCTTTCCTCTCTTCTCTCCTCCACCGAGTTTCCGAGTCGAACAATCTCAAACCAAGTTTCCAAACCCAGAAAATGTCTGTCTTTCACGGCCTAACTCGACCAACCATCTCGATTCAGACTTATTTGGATAGAATCTTCCAGTATGCAAATTGCAGTCCTTGTTGTTATGTTGTTGCTTATGTTTATCTTGATCGGTTCACGCAGTGCCAACCGGCTTTGGCAATAAATTATTTCAATGTTCATCGCCTGCTCATTACCAGTGTTATGGTTGCTGCAAAATTCATGGATGACATGTAAGTTTTCTCTTAAAGAAATTTTGTTATTTTTATATTTTTTTTCTCGGAGATTCTTTGGGAGTTCAGTTTGATCTTGGTAAATAAAGTTGGATCCAGAAGAATATGAAAATTCAGACCCTAGGTATTTTTGTTAGTATGTTGGAATTAAGGCAGTGTTGATGTGTTTTTTTATTTCTTTAATTCTGGAAAAAGAAAATTTTGATAAATGATTCATGTAGTCTACTTAGTTTTTGGTTAATGTTGTACAAGAATCCAAAAAATAAACTAAACAGTAAGCTATGTTTAGATTTTCCAATCAAGTGTGTGTGATTAATTTCTTTGAGTTAAAAGCTCAATTACCTTAAGAAGATATAGGGCGTGTTTAGTAGAGATTAAAATCGAATTAAGGCTCTGTTTGGTACCCATTAAAATTTTCATTCTCATTCTTCTACTCATTTTCAACCCCACATTCTTCATTAAAATAATATTTTCCATCATATCAATAACTTTTCCTTCTTTTTCAACCACACATTCTCCATCAATCTACTATTTCAAAATACATTCTTCCAAAATAATATCTATCAAACACACCCTATGTTAGAAGTAATCTTG